GTAGTAAGGCACTTGTTACTAGTAGCGATGCACTTGTTACTAGTAGCTTCTTGCTCCTAGTAGTAAGGCACTTGTTACTAGTAGTGATGCACTTGTTACTAGTAGCTTCTTGCTCCTAGTAGTAAGGCACTTGTTACTAGTAGCGATGCACTTGTTACTAGTAGCTTCTTGCTCCTAGTAGTAAGGCACTTGTTACTAGTAGCGATGCACTTGTTACTAGTAGCTTCTTGTTACAATCAAACCATGTCCCAAACCCAGAGAGATCGAACAGCGAGAATCGAACACCAAATGCTTCGATAAGCCGCAGCACAACAAAACCATGACGGGCAGCAATGGAATCCCCTCTCAATTTTGCCAGAGGTCGACGGAAGCGACCTGTCTTGACCCACATGTAAAGTACCACTGTACCACTGGACCATGCCTTCAGCCCTGAACCCCTCAAGCGGTCTCAATTCCATCAGTTCCGCAGTATATTTATAAAGGAAGCCGCTCAACAAATCAACACGACCGGCAGGTAGACCCTCCCACGAAACTTGAAAATCCTGCAGGGAAGTGTCATCGTGACTATTGCCATCCTTGTTGGACTTCGTTGGCATGTCCACACTTTGCCACCATTCGGCGGGGAAGACATGCACACGTTCAGCTCGAGTGCTGCTGTTGGGCTTTGGTGTAAGATATACAGTACATAGCAGGTAGACTTCTATCGTGTTTCTGTCAATAAGTCTACTTCCATCATCTTTGATCTACGTTCATTCTACTACTCCTTGAGAGCATTAAATATTGTTAAGTTCAGGCATTCCATTGACATTATCAGAGACTCCGTGATGCTCTGTGTCCTTCCATGGTGCTTCATCTGTAACCATTGTCCTGTTGCAGCCAAGCAAAGGCACCGACTTGAGTTGCTCCCCAACCCTCTACATATGCACGGAATGGGAAGCTGCCGCCATGCCTCACGCTGCACCTGTCCTTTCTGGAGAATGGAAGCTGATCGATTGCAACATTCAGACCACACAATATAAACGTCATTCATGCATGGGTATGTCTTCATAAGAACCATATATATGTCGGTGTCTGATGCGAGGTCTGTTGCCAAAAATATCGGAACTGAACTGCTGGTATTCCTCAAGATTGATCCCCAAGTCACATGCCACTTCACGCCAAAATAGCTTGACTTGATTGGCGCACGCCCCAAAAACAAATTCGTTTTGGGTGGTATTTGAAGGCAGGCCAACCGCCTCTGGGCGGATATGGGCAAATCATTGAACACTGTTGGAAGCCCTGAATAGCAACAGAGAGTGTATAAACTGTATAAAACAACACCTGCTGGAAGCAGCACGTACCCAACCTCTTCATCTCCTCTGCAGATGCATGGGCCTGCTTGCAAAACGCGGTTGTTTCATCAAAGTACACAATAGTTCAGCTTGACCAGGGAAGGTCAATCATTTTGATCTGGTGCATGTTTGCGAAGGTAATCAGCTATCCACTCGAGTGATTGGCGCTTGCATTCGGACTTGGGCCACACAGATACACACTACATGGTTGGGCAAAGAAGGCTTCTCCATGCAAGAGCTGCAAGAATGCAGGTATGTTCCCCAACTAGAGCCCTTTGTGTGAGATAGTCAGTTCGTTATGTCTGACCTGGAGGACCCTAAGCGGTTACTCTGACCTGAGCGGTGGATTGTCTTGCAATCATTCCTTTTGTTTTGCACTGTGAGCCAATCATGCAAAGGACACCACAGAACTAAAAGCGTTGACCAAAATATCTCACATTCGGCAATTCAGCAACCCCTGCTCAATCTGCATCACAGCTACTCCATACAATCTGCTCTGGCAACTAACTAACTAACTAACTAACTAACCTTCTTTGCACAAATCAACTTGCATGACCTACCTTGCCTCGTTCAACCAACACCCAGCCCTGACCACTCCACCGCTCAACGCACTAGACTCGTCCGTCGTCCGTCTGTCCGTCCTGCGCGAGCTGCAGGCGAAGCTCCGAGCCGTCGTCCTGCGAGGTCGGCACCTCGGCGCGCAGGTCGCGCGCCGGTCGCATCGCAGGACCGCAGTAGGTCGCCGTTTCAGCAAAGAATCGCGTGGCCGATTCCAAGAAGATGACAAGTCCATGTTTCACCAGATTTCTGGCCGAATGATGAACCATACTTGGAAAACCTCTATGTTTTTATACACCGCTCTTTGTGACCCTACTGCTAAAGGAAGGGTATCACAGCATGTTGTTCCATAGCTAGTAGCTGTAGATTACTCTCAGCCATGAACCATGTCAGACTCTTCGTGCGCTTGACAAAGCACAGTGGTCCAGATGCCAATCATGACCAAAAGTCTGAAAAAAATACGTGAAAACATATTTAGAACATCATGATCAGAAGCATGCCACACATTGAGGCATTGATAGATCCTTGGGAGCCCATCGTTGTAGACCGTCCGCTGCGGACGGCTAGAACATCGACCGGATCCGGCTGCGTCGCAACGAGAGGGTCCACTTGGATCCATTTTGGCATTTTGGATGCTTGTTCCTAATAGCTTCTTGTTACTAGTAGTATGGCCAGGAGCGCCCTAGTGGCGTCCTTGCTCCTAGTAGCGATGCCCTTTGCTCCTAGTAGCTTCATTTGTCTTTTAATATGTTCGGAAGGTCTCCCGGCCCAATGGATCCCAGTGTGATTTTTTGGTCGATGAGGCTTCAAGCTTCCAGGGGCTTCGCCCAAACCGGGGGGGTCGCGTTGCGAGGTCTCCCTGTTTTCATACACACTCCTGTGTGGAGAGTTACATGCCAAGACCAAACCCACCTTGCCAAGATTGAATCCGTCTGTTCTCAGCTTGCTGAAGGGGAGTTTCAATCTCGAGATCGTGTTCCGAGATCTCCGAAACGAACCCCATCGCACGAACACTCAGGTCACAGGTCTGTTCATCCTCATCCAGGGCACTCGTGCATGATGTAGCTCTGTGGCCAAGACAGCCACATCAATCTCCAGCCTGGTCACCGAGAGCAGCCGCGGCGAGGCAAGACTCACTCCATCGGCCGGGCGTGAGGCGATGGAGTGAGGCTCCACCTAAGATATCTAAGATGCAAATGGGTCAGTGAAGATTTCGCAGTCACTGGAAAAGAGAACCGAAAGGACATGAAAGGACTAGGACTGTGGTTTCATGTTCTACCGGGTCCTCATCCTGCAAAGCCCTGTCTAGCGGGGTCTTGGGCTAAAGAAGTCCAAGTGTATTCAATGTGGTTCTTCGTTGAATCTACTTGTTGGTTTGGCTATTGCTTCTAACTTGGCTGGTCACTGGTGATTCCAAGCAGCCTTCCCCTCGTTGGTTCCAACGATCTGTGTGTGTGTTTTCGGTAGGATCTGTAGGGTGTCCAGTGGAACAGGAGGCTTCACCATTAGTTGGTGAAATTCATGTTGGTTCCAACAACGAGGTTGCTTCCAATCAACCCAAGGTGTCCAAGGTAGCCGTCCCCGTAAAAGCTGAGCTCCACACTTCTGCTTGTCGTGTTGAAGAGCACCCTCTGCATGACGGACCTGCGGAAGCCGGGTCGATCGAAGCACATGGTGGGCGCCTTCCCGATGGCCAGTCCCATGGATGGCCAGTCTTGAACCTCTCCGGCTCTGGAAGCAGACTCTCTGGTGATTGAAGAAATGGAGGGCATGCCCCCCACCATCACCAACCTACCACCTGGTTGTTCATTGACCAAACACTTCGCTGGATCATCCCATGCCCATGCATGTCTTTAAAGATGATCATCGTGGTCCAAAAAAAAACAGTTCCTTCCACGACTGCTCACAAACATGATTCATGACGAGTGCAATGGTGATGATGCTCACAACAATGATGGCCATGATGGTGGTCTCACCGGGCCTACCGGACTAAAGAAGCCCCACACAAACAGCCTGCTAACAACTGCAAGCAACCTCCAATGGCCCGCAACCCAATTAGCAATGACCTCCAACCTACTAGCAATGCCCTCCACCTACTTTCTTTGTAATTATGGGTCCGTTTTTCCTTGTCAAAACGCATGCCACAGTTTCCTCAAAAACGCTCTCTTTGTGTCAGTTTCCATAGTCAAAACGCATGCCCAAGGCCAAAGGCAAAGACCTTGTCTCGCTGCCGCTCGAGTGCAGATTCCAAGGCTTTGATCTTGGCTTCCTTCGGGGTCAAGGAGGTGTGATCTTCCAGACCAGCTAAGAGTAACCACTACTTTCCTACACACACTCCTGACTGGGAGAGGAGTTGCACCTGACACACAGGTGCTTGAAATATATTGAAAAAGGATCTGTTTTTTTGTCCTTGGCTTTCAGAAGTCCTACTGCAATTTGACGGCAGTATCTCTGTTAGAATGATTCTTCTGGGTGAGACAAGCACTGCTGAATTTAGAGATCCTAGGTTTAACTGATGATCTTTGGAGAAGGGCTACATAGGGCATCCAATTGCGCACCAGGATGGCAGGCTGGCACGCACTCCTCACTGGCATGGCAGGCTTGGCGATTTCTCGATCGACCCGGAAAGGTCTCCTGCGCTTTGGTCTTTTCTTTGTACCTGGCAGGCTGGCCATGCGAAGACTTTACTCACTGAAGTGATTAAATAAAGGAGTTAGTTTCTTGTTGGTATGTTCTTCCTTCCAGCTCCTAAAAAGCCAAGCAAGTAGTTTGTCAACAGGATTTCATCATTTCTTCTTCACTCCGTTCAGCTATATACTATAGCAGCTGTGCTGCCTGTGCTTTTTCTCTTGCAGGCCTGTTTTTAGCGTTGGAAACCCAAGGATGATGGTTGGTAAGAACATGGTAGCAATATGTACTTGTTTGTTCACTGTGAATTCCATAAACGTTGATTGCTAGCTGCTAGCTGTCCGGTTTTGATGGCCAGCATTGGGACACGTATTGACCTGTGTGAGTTCAAGATCTTGTTTACAGACTTTGATAGTAATGGTCCTCTTCCGCTTGAGAGAAGCAAGCCAAGCAAACCAGGCCCTATAAGAAGGACGACATCAGAACATGAAGGCCCCATCTTCAAGAACCTCATGAAACTGCGACGGATACAAATGCCAGACCATGCGTTGGTCTACCAATCTGTGAAAGAAAATCCCTATGCGCCTACGCACATCTGCTCCACCCCCCACAAAAATGGCCCTTGTCCAAACCCCCCCCCCAAAAGAAAAAACCTGGCCACCATGCCCAAAACCAAAACTGCCGCCTGGATTTCTGCTTCTCTGAGTAGTGATCGGCTGTCACCTGCTGGACCAAAAGCTCATCGAGCCTCGCCACGGTGCGGCGGCGCCGCGACGCACCGTGCGGCGCAGACGGCGGTTTCCGGCTTCGTCGGAGTTCCTTCCGGAGCAGAGGGTGAAGCACAGAGGTTTTGTCATGGACATATGCGACCAAAAGGAAAATGATGCCCATTTCATTCAATGAGGATAGCTATTGGACTGGCTATAAAATGTATATGGTTTAAAAATGAATGTAAGCAATCATCTAGATCATGGAGGGATTGATTCGCGCTGCCAGAAGCAGTTTCAGCCCACCTATTCAAAAGGCTGTTGTGGTTCGCAAGTCTAACATCAGTGATTGTTCGATCCAACTGCATTGCTCTGTAAATGGCCCGAAAGCGAGTATTTTTGGTGCAAGGAACATCAAGAAGGAACATCAACAGCCATGGAAGAAGAATGATTCCGGTCAGCAACCTGCAGGTCAACTCAGGATTCTGCGCCTGACTTTCCTTCGATCCATGTTGAACCGGAACGGAGTTGCTGAAAAGCGAGAGCTCTTTTCCCGCAACCCTCAACCGAACCCTCAGCGATATGCTGTGCCCCATTCCTGGTCCCTACCTTCCCTTCCTCTCTCCCAACCCACGTCACATAACGACAATGACGACGAAAAACCAACGGCGTGGCGTTCACGCGCGGCGTGGCGTTGACGAAACCCAAACGGTTTCCGGCCCAAGCCACTGCTTCCGCAAGTCTTGATTCCGCTGCTTCAGCTCGTCCTCCTGGCGAGCTGAGTGAAGAACACCCACGGCGGGTCTGGTGATTCCTCTGTTGGACGTCTGTGTTCCAAGACTTTTTGGGTCAAAGAATTCCCGTTGAAGTGCAATACTTTGATCAAAGGTGATGTTTATATAGATTGTTTGGTGGAGTGATGATGTTTGAAGCAAATGCAAGATGGTGTGAAATGAATTGTCATGCACTCTGTGCAACAAGCTCTTTTTCACAGGCCTTCATCCTGAAGGAAACAAAGCGACAGCGCTTGAAAAGCATATTACCAGTCCCTAGTCCCTGCCACAGGGTGCCAATTGGATATTCTATCCGCAAGGCTAAGCCAAATAGACATTAAGCTTGCGACCATTCTGACCATTCCTAGATATTCGCTAGGCTTCCAAGGCAAGCAACTGTTGCCCTATCCGATTCCACAAGTTGACAAGTGCACCTTCATTTTGTTCTGATTCGCAATGTGTTGCTCCACTTCAGTTGCACCAGCCAAAGCCTCCGCAGGCACGGTGCCAGGACACCTTCCAAGTTACCGACAACTCTGGGGCAACTCTCCTATGGTCGAGATGATCACCTTGTAGTATTCAGTTTTATTCAGTTTCTCAGTGTCTCAACTCTCTTGGTCGATGTGTGATGCAACAACCTGAACAACGTGAAAGAGGAGGTTTGATTTCTTCAGAGATCAGCATGAACAACCCACGATTCACGAGCTGCTCGCAAGACTTGTGGCACCATCTTGGGGGATTCAGCAGGTCAGCACAACAACTTCATCACCTGAGCTGACAGCAACCTGTTACGTCTGATGACAGCAACTGCTGCTTGCAGCAGATCATGCAGAAACCTCTTGCAGCAGCTCCTCCGGTTTTCACTGGCGACAGCGCCACCGGACATCCCTAGGGGCAATCGCTCTCCGCCTTCGATCCCTTGGGGCTCGGAAAGGGCGGTGGCATCCAACTGCCCAGGGTATGCGCCGGCATCGGCTCCTCGGCGATCAGCCGAGGTCGTGGTCGTGGTCGGAGCGATGGAGCTGTCCGAAGGTCGGATGCAAGGCAGCAAGCGTAACAAGGGCATTACTACTAGTAGCTAGAAGCTTCAAGTAGCACGAAAGGACGGTAGGAGGGACTGCGACGGAGAGTTGATCTCGTTCGGTTCAAGGGTTTGCTTTACGTGACTAGGAATTCTGTGACCAGACCCCTTGCTGTCTGGGTACGCACGTTCTTAAGACTCGGTGAGACTGGATGGTTGACGAAGGTCTGGAGGGTCCGTCCGCACGAACACCTCTTCACCGCATGAACACCTGGTCTTCACCGCACGAACACTGCGGGTCACTGCAGGTCAAGGAATAGCTTGTTGACAACGCAGAAATAGGGCGCTTCAAATCTGTTCAGACACAAGAGGCTTCAAGATGTTCCTTTTTGTCCCATGGATTTCTCATGTAGGGATATGTAGGGATACGCAGGGAAGGGTGCACATATGGGTACTTTGCACGACTTTCCTTCCAAAAAACCTCTTTGCCATTCCATTTCTGCACTTCACGATCCACGAACCACTTTGCGGGAATCTCTCCTTCACATCAAACCTCAGTGCGACTCAACGATCAGCTACGACCATGGAGAAGGCTTGCACCGACACTGTTTTAACAGATTGTGGACACGTGACAAATGCATATGGGATGCAATCATACATGATTTTACTCTACATGGTGTCCATGCAGACCTTGCCAGCTTCGTCACACGTTCAAAGAACTCACATGGCAACAAAAATCCGACCTCATCCGAACATCATGGGTTCATATCGATTCACATCCTCTTGAGTTACAAATTACAACGGGGGTTGATCTGCCACTGGTCAAGATGCTGCAGCCTCTGGGGTCCAAAACCACATGAGTTCAAGTGAGTATCCCCGGCGCCAACGCCCCCCTGCGCCTTGCCACGCCTCTGGTAGCCCTCTGTCCGAGTGCCCCACGAAGGCGGTGGCAGTGGCCTCGACCAGGTTTCTGCAAGCTCTGCCAACGCGCGGTTGAAACGCGGCGTTCTTGAGTGGAAGCAAGCCCTTCCAACCCTCCTCCCAACCCTGTGGAATGTTCATGATTTTTCCATTTTGCCCGGGTTTCACTATCAAACATGCGATTGAACGGAGTTGGGGCCGCCTCTCGCAGGGAGTTCTTTCCTGGCGGGAACTCTTCCATTCCACTCATGTCACATCATGGAAGGTTGAATTCCACCCCACTGACTGCCACCGCTGCCTCTCAGGTGCTCTGGGTGAAGCGCTCCGCCGTGACTCCGCCTTTGCTGCGGCAGTGGTGTGGTGTGCTGCGCGGCTGAAGCTTTCGAAGGGGTTCATGGTGGTCCCCACATGTGCTGGAAGTGGATGCAAACAAATTTCCATCTATACGTACCTACCTACTTAGTTGAGTGAAATCCACCACACCACCCTTTGACCGGCTGCATAAGATTGAAATGTGGTTCATTCATCAGTGGACATCTCTTCATTCTTGGACTCCCATCCACAAGGCCCAAACAAGGGCACAAGGACTTTTGTCGATGGTTACGGAACATACCGAACTAGGATCTCAACTACAAGTCGAGAAACCTCCACGGGCTGCAGTAGGAGTCCCAAGCAACTTTTTTCAGGGTTGATCCATCACCATCACTTAACATTCTCCCCCTCTTCTCCACAAGTGGTGCCTGAGGCGAAAGTCTTCCTGCGGGGCTACCCGGCCTCGCAGAACTGGGAAAGATGGAAATAGCGAGGTGTGCGAACACTCAGCACGACAAATGCCAAATCTAGAGGAAAATCGTCCCATGCGTTCCGATTGCCGAGCACGAACACTGGACCAACAAACACACCTGGCAACTTGCAATCACTGATTATTCATGTGTCTCACCGTGTCTCTGTGAGTCGGAGGTCCAAGAGCCAAGGCATTTACATGGCATTCAATCTGTTCGTAGGCATGCCGAGATCATGTCGTAGATGTGTTTGTGAATTGTTGGTTCTTCATGTGTGTCAGAAGCAAATGTTTAAAAGTCTGGGGCAACACATGTAAATCCTTTCACCCTACAATATCGACATTGTGAAACAAGTTCTTCTAAAAATAGAGCACCTCCACAAATGGATCAACTAACACATAAATCCCGACCCAAACCATGCACACCTATGGTTTTGCAGGTTGGCCCTATTTGGTTCCATTTCCCAATGTACACTTGGATGATGATGCTGATGATGACGATGATGATGATGATGATGATGATGTTAATGTTGATGTTGTTGTTGCTGACGATGATGTTGATGTTGCTGTTGGTGATAATGTTGATGGTAATGCTGATGATGTTGACGTTGATTTTGTTGTTGCTGCTGCTGCTGACGGTGATGATGATCATCATGACGCTGATGTTGATGTTGTTTCTGCTGCTGTTGTTGCTGCTGCTGGTGATGATGATGACGATGACGATGTTGATGATGATGTTAATGTTGGTGTCGACGCCATTGCCGCTGCTGTTGTTGCTGCTGCTTGTGACGATGATGACGATTGAACTTGCTCTCTTCGTGCACTATAAGACATCACCAAGTTCCAGCACTCTTCTGATCGTCAAGCACTGAAATTAGACCTGATGGTCTTGTGCCCCACACTGTCCTTGAACTTCTCGAGCATGGACATCACGCTTGTCAAGGGTCACTTTACTGAGCTTATTGGGGGAGCTTGTGACGGGGGAGTCGTGGTATGACTTGCGTGGAATGATGCACTGACTGCGGCCGCGCCGCGGTGCTGTCTTGGCATGTCCTGCGGAGTGTGGCGCCGTGGAGTGCTCGCGACAGGTCACAGCCGCAGAGCGCAGAGCAGGCATGCCAACTCGCGGTAAAAAGCCCGAGCGCGCGCGGTCGCTGCGTCTCTGAAGATAAATAACAATTGTTTGCAACTTTTGTATATTAATTTTAACAAAACTTGCGGCCCAAGGATAATCAAATTTAACAAAACATCAAGAACCAACGAAAAGTGCATACAGTCTACCCTGAAAAAACACACACAGATTTACCTGTTTTGTACATAAACACATTTTCAACCAAAGTCTGATTTTTGAACACGTTTAGCTCTTTGGAAGTTATCTCGAAGTTTTCTTCGTTGATGTTTTTGAAAAATAACATCAAATCTTTCCTTACTTCCAGTTCACCTTGTAACTCTGAAATCGCAAGGGTTCGTTAAAAAATAAGCAACATAAGGGCAAAACCGCACTCAGAAATGATGGCCAGGAAAAGCAAAGAAACGCATTAAAATGAAAAGAAGGCAGCTGGTCAAAAAGAGTGCAAAATTGCAAAATGACGCCGCAAAAAAAAGCAAACAAAACGCGAAACAACCAAAAAGTGCACGCGCACAACCAATCTAACACACCACCTTGTTTGTGTGTGTTTTGCGATGTTTGCGCATTTTGCGCGCAGGTTTAATATGCTTATGTTTTCCGAGGTTTTGCGTTTTGTTCGCCATGTGTTTGCGACGTTTTTGCAGTTTTCCCGGGAAATGAAAAATGCAAAGCAACAAAAACAACGCAAAGGACAGGCAATCTAAAGGCAAAAAAGCATCAAAAACAAAGCATAAGCAAAGACCAGCGCTTTTTTGCTACGGTTTGTTTGCCTCTTGTTTTTGTTGGTGCATTCTTTTTGCTTTATGCTTTGCTGTTTCAATTCTTTAGTTGACAATTTAGATGTTTTTGCAGTTTGCTTGCTTTTTTGTGCATTCCAACGCTTTCCTTGGTGACTTGTCTTTGCGTTTTCTGTGCATCTTTTTGCGGCGGCATCAGAACTAGCTTTAATGCACATCGTAACGCAAGAGGATGCAGCCACACCCGAGCCTCTTGCCAGGCCACCGCCACACCGCAAGCAGCCTCATCTGGGCCAGCCAGACTGCATGGCCCGCCGTCACAATGGTGCAGAACTATTGCTGCTGGATGCCTCTTTCACGAGATCTTAGGCTCGGAGCAAACTGGCCAGGACCCACCTGAGGTCCACGCAACCATCACTGATGGGTGCTGAGAAAGCGATGATGATGATGATGATGATGATGATGATGATGACGACGACGATGATGATGATGATGATGTTGAAGCATCTTGTTTTGGGATGATTCTCAAGCCATGCTGACACTCTCTGCCCCACAGGCGTGGAAAGCTTCCCTGCCTGCTCTGCCTGGAAGGGCTAAGCTCCGGCTGAATATGTAGGGCCTAAGAGCTGGACGTGCAGGGCCTTCGGATGGTGACCTCAAAAGCTTTGGGCACCCCAAAGCTCTGGAACAAATCAGGACATGTGTCATATGTCCAAGGCTGTTTTCTGGGGGAAAAAAAACTTTTGGGCAAACAAGAATGACATATATGTAGTCAAAGTCACAAGAAAAAAAACACCCGTTTTGACAGTTGGTTCTTCCAGAGACGAAGTTGGTGAGTCACGGTGAATGATTTGGGGTGCCATTGACACCGGGAGAATATGGAAAACTACTGAGAAACAAGCAAACCATCTGAAAATTGGATGATGCATCTGAATTTAGCATCAGAATGTGATGCATTGGCGACTTGTTTGAGTTTTGCAGAGGCACCACTTTCCTTGTCGGCAGAATTCCTGTACCACCGAAAAAGGCACTAACTTGTCCAAGTGATTCTTCTTGGAGACCTGCTTCTTCAGTTTCCATATGATCCATTTTTGGAGGAGTGCATCATATAAATCCAAGGAGACCCATCATGTACATCGCACATGGACATGGTTTCAATCTCAGTGTTCATGTCCTGGAGGATATGCTGGCATGGCATGGTCTTCCCCATGAGCTCCTCAGCTTCAGGCTGGCAACACTCCAGCCCGTACCGGCGAGCTGGGCCGGAGCTCACCGCCGTAGCCCTCAGGCGACGGCGAAGAAGGCGGGCGACGGCGTCAGCGGGTCTGCACACTGCGATTGAAGCAGGCCATAGCCCAGGTAGGGTGAAAACCACCCTGTGGCCTGTGATCACCTCGCTCTTGGAATGCCAAAGAAGGAAGGGAACGCCACCCGCATGGGTCTCTGTAAGTCCCACTCATGTCCAAGCATCAAGCAGAGGCAGCGGCTTCCTCATGAAAATTGAAGGGAGTTGGAAACCAGTCCCATCTCCCAGGAGCAACGGTGGAAAGAACAAGGAAAACAGTATCCTTAGATGGTGGGCCTCAAACAATATAGAGAAGCAAAACATGCCCTCATGCCCCTTGCCGAGAAAACACCCAAGTTCTCACAAAGACGATCTTTGTTTGACAAACAGAAATACTAGTAGCAAGGACGCTACTAGGTGAAGGCCATCGCTATTAGGTTGGAGGCCATTCCTACTAGGAACAAGGACGCTACTAGCAACAAAGGCCAATGCAACCAACCACGACGGCAGAATCTGCTCATTTTGCTCGAAAGACGCTGCCCACGAGGCGTCCAAACACAGCGGCCCCGGGCGCAAAAAGCACCGGACATAGGGCGTCCAAACACACGACCGTCCAGTGGAAGGGCTCCACGCAGTCAGCGGTCAAGGTGTTGCTCATTGGTTCGATACAATCTATTTCGCTACTAGGAACAAGTGCCTTACTGGTAGTAACAGGTGCCACGCTAGTAGTAACAGGTGCCTTACTAGTAGTAACAGGGCAGCTGCCCAATGGGTGCACACCTCGACCACTAAAAACGTCAGAAAGGCAAAAGGCCCACGAAATGTGAGCGTGTTCTTGGTCGGTTATGACCTGAATTGGCAGATGCATCTCTTGCATCACTGCTCTGTGTCCTCCACCCAAATGCTGTCCAGTTTGAAAGGCTGCTTAAGTTCCACCAACAAGGAGGACACGAACTGCGGCACTTGAGAGAACCTTGGAACTCAATGGAAAACCAGCAATCTTCATCAGCGAGGCTGAGGACTAATCGTGTTTAATCCCACGTCCCTTCATAAAACTTCTTTGAGCCAACTTCCCCGCTACTGAATCAAGCATTTTGTTCATACCATACCCCGATTGCACGGTAGACACAAATGGCCAAACGGCAGAACGGCAGTGGTTCTAAGATTCTCCACGTTCTGCCAAGCGATTGGGAATGAACAGGTTCGCAACCGGTCAAGAAAATGCCTGATGCTTGGAAACAAACTCCCAGTCCAAGTCCTATCTGAGTCCAAGTGAGTAGAATCTTATTCAGCAAATCCGCCGACCCCCGGTCCATTCTCTCCAGGAAGCCCCTTCTGTGAGAGTTCCTGCCTCATCCGCTCCAACAACTCTGCATAGGTCAGCTCCTCTCCAGCCTCCAGGGAGGTGCTGTCGGATCTCTGTTAAAAAAAAACAAAAAAACACGACGTCAGTGGCATTGGGCCTCGTGAATCTGAATCTGAGAAGCAGCTCTCGCGGCTCTCACATCCAACATCTATCTTCATCTCTTTGAAACTATGACGACAACAGCAGACAGCAGCAACAACGAACACCAACACAAAGACAACGTCGGCACTCCAAAAATGAAGCACGTCTCCTAAACCCCCTCCAGCTCTGCACCCCAACCACGGGCGCTCCCAAGGGGCCAACGGGCCGGGCCAACCATGCGCCTCGAGGACCTCCACCAAGACGGAGGTCAGCGCTCCTCCCGCGGCGTTCTCCACCAAGCCGAAGGTCGCTACGTCCGCCACGTCCGCGGAGGTCTGGTCGGAGCGGCAGCCGGTGAGGGCCACGACCTCTCCGACGGCGACCAGCTGCTGCGTGGAAGAGGCTTCGTCGGTGAGAAAGCCGTTGGAGGAGCCCTCGTGGTACATCTGCCAGAGATTCTTGCCTTCACCGGAAGGTTGGGAACTCCACCCTTCCAAAAGCGGCGTGGCGTGGATGGACAGGTTGAAGCAATCGGACTCTATCCAGTAAACCAAGCTAGGGTGGATTGATGGTGGACACTGGAACAGCTGGATAGAAATGCCGTGATCTGTTGAATGGTTGGGCCAATGTACTGGCTGAACATCCTAAGACCATGTCAAAGAGATGTTGAAGGTCAAGCTACATGGTGTCGAGGATCCAGGTTTTGACCCATCCCCATATGTATGCGAAAAGCCTAGTTACTTGCTCTCGTGTGTTGGAAGCCTTCAGTCTGTTGCATGACTTGGCTTCCTTCAACTTGGGAAGGCAGAAAATCCAGAAAATGCCTTTAAAAAACTGACCGTTGCTCAGAAGCAGTTGCCAAGAGCGCTTACATCAGTGAAGAGCTCCTTGGAGGAGCCCTGGGTCCATTTCTCAAAGTCGGATTTCCACTTCACAGCGAGTGCCATCCTCACTGCCTCCCCTGCCACTGCTTTCTGCAGCTCTTCCTCTCAAAGAGCAGGTTCCCAGGGCCTACATGTTTCTATGGAAAACAAAGCAAAATAACCCCTTCTTCATCTCAAGAGTCCTTTCTTGTCATCTAACATGAAACCTTTGGTGACAACCCTGTTTTGGATTCGGCGCATCTTCCCTGAATCCGTGAAGGTTAGGAGTAGAAAAGTGCTCACCCGAACCTTCAAATAGACTCTGATGTTTTCACTATCATCCCAAACTCCACCCCAAGAAATCTTCATGAATCCCTCAGCAGGTGCTTTGGTGGGCGACCAAGCCTGATACCAAAGGCAAGAACATCTTATGTCGAATTTCTCTGATCTGTGCTAATGCAGGATCTTGATGAATCAAACCCCCCGGAAATATGCAGAGGTGTTTGAATCCCAACATATAGGGGGGTTATATGGTTTTTCTCAAGCTCCTACCTGATCTTCTTATGCAAATCAATCTTTTCACACCGCCGGTGCAGCCACACAGCCGCTGCGCGAACGCCCGCGTGCGCGGCTCCAGCTCCCCTGCGGCTCCTCAGTCCCCACGAAGATGTAGGGCAGGTTCAAAGCGCCGGCGCTGTGGCAGCTGTCTAAAATGCAGGTCAAGCGACAACCTGACAGCTGAATGGCAGCAGTTTTTGGGCAGCTCTTGGGGTCCAGCATGTTGAACGACAGACCGTTTGATGTTCAGTCGGAATCTGCCAAAAGCGGATGTTAGATGCCAGATGCCACATTCACCCAAATCCTGGCTTCTTGCCTTCGCCCCTGTAGTTGTTCCCGAAGCTACAAACATCAATTGTTGTTGGTATCAACAGCCTGGCAATATCTGGCAATCGTGTTGCTTGGATTGGTCGATGTAAGACTAAGACCAAACACCAAACACAAAGGCCCACCCCAGCACGCTGACGTCTCTCATTTGCACTTCTACCACCAGCGCGCTGACGGGTGCGCCGCGCAGTCTGCGCGCCTGCGGGGATTCGCTTCACTAAGCGCTCGAAGAGCTCGGTATCCCGGAGCATGCCTGGAGTGACGCGAGTATCACCGGGGAGGTGCGTAACGGGAGTTCAACACAGAAGGATGTCCTTTAAAAAGAAACTTCTTCAAGAAAGAAGCAATAAGCAGAAGCGGTTGAACAATGTTTGCCAATCATTGGCAGTAGCCATTTGTCCTAGAGTGTGTTCTTCTGTGATGTAATTCCCAGAATTGGAAACTTCTGGACACCTCCAATCATCCTCCGCGCCTGCAGTTTCGAAATCCAAGGGCACCAATGTCTCATGGTAACCATGCTCGCCCTCCGCCGGCTCACGCCCCCCATGACCCGAATAGTGGAGCAGCAAGGCGTCTCCAGCTTGCGCTTCGGCCACTAACCAGTCCATGGCTTCCAGCATGTTCGCGCGCGTAGGCGCTTGATGACCACTGGACTCCTTATCATCCAAGAGCACCTCCAGCACCAGGGGAAGATGGGTGGATATTCCCAACAAGCAAGGTTAATGCAGACGGACCATAAGAGAATGGAAGATCTGTTGTTTGTTGTTGTTTTGGACGGGAAATTGGAAGGAGGAAACCGATGTGAGCTCATCATACGCTAGCAGTTCCAAAGGGGTGCCTAGGGCCTACGGTAGCGGGCCCCCAGAACATCAACTCACTGGATGGGACTGAAAACCATTCCGACATGGAAACTGCTGGTAGTACCACAACCCCCACGCCTTTTGATTTGCGTGGTCTGACGGAAAGCCCAGCTTCTCCTCAGTGTGCAGAGGCTTTTGGTGCCTCTGGACTCGCCCACAGAGGCGGCAGGATGCACCCCACGCACCCCACGCACGGGCTGGGCCCACCTCTGTGTACTCAACAATAAGACGTTGATGCGCACTCAACGACATGTCCTTCTACATGTTTCGCTGTTTGGATCACCATGCGCTTGGCGCAACCAGGTGATCCCGCGACCTCACGTTTCTGAATGAAGAACTCCAGCTTCTCGGCAGACCCACATGTCGGGAGTTTCATCTACACCCAGACACACCCTGTCTCAGTCTCTCTCACCCCCTCCGCCCGGCGATCCGACCCTCTGCCCAGCGGCCAGCACGGGAATCATCCGTCGCACGTCATTGGCACAGCCCTGGAGCTCGTTGGAGGTGCCCACGTAGTTGCAGCCAATCAGCAGGCTTCGACGAGACCCCTGCAAGGGCTCTTGCCTCGGCGTGGTGAAGAAGCAGTAGACACCCAAAACACTTGGGGGTAGATCGAAGTGTGAATGATTTTACAGGGTTTTCTACCCTTGAGGTTGGGTAAATTGAGGCGTTTGAATTGGAAGGTCCTTGACTTTGAAGCTTTCAATAGCTTTCAACAAAATTGAGAAATTACGACAGTTACGACATACGACAGCCATTGGAGAATGAAAAAAAGCCGCGATTGTTGCCTGTTTCAAAGACGTGGAGAGACCCCAAAACAAACCAGAAACACAAAACAGTGGTTCACCGACGTGACATACCCCTCAACCAATCCCACCTCCCAGACACTTGCCGACCTTCCAAGCTGCTTGGCTGCTTTGGGCGTTAGGTCTCTGCTGGCTCCATGGAAAAGACCCAAGTCTTCGACTCGCTGCTCAACCTCCTTGATGGCATTGCAGACATCCGTGACATCCAATGGCCCTTGACGCCCGGAAAGGAGTGAGCAGACCTTCCCCATGGCGGCGTCGGCGTCAATGCCAAAAGCGAGAAGCGAGTGGAGCCGCAGCAGCTGCGAGGCAGTTGCGTTTGAGAAAGGAGTGAAGAATCTTCTGGATGTTGGCGCGTTGGCGTTGCAAATCTGTCTACTCTAGTAGCTCCAGTCAGTTTAACTGTGAATGCGGACATCGTTTCATTTTGTGCAGGCCAGTGTGCGCGCCAGGTACGCAGCCAGGTATCCAACAAAAATGGCATCTGCGGCATGCTCAACCACGCAAGAAATGCAACCACAGGCTTGAGCTTGGGAAAATTGTTCGGGGAGGTTCGCCCCCAAGCTGAGCGATTCCTGTGGATCCAGCCACCCTCAGTCACTCTGGCTCCGATGCCTGGCCGAATGGCATCGCCGTCATCCGGCCCCGCAAACGTCCTGGGAAGCGACGCTGCGGCTGCCTGGCGGCCAGCAGGACCGTAGGACCGTCTGAGTATAGATAGAAGATCACCCACTATCAGGATAGAATATCAGCCTATACTTGTGAAAAATTGCTCCATGGTCTATATCCAAATGAATGGATAGATTCAGCTACTTTCATCGATGAGTAGTATTGAAGGTCTCTTTATTTGACCCACCCACCCACCCACCCACCCACCCACTCTACATAGGTGCACAAGCACGGCTCATCGCTGCCTGGAGCGCACACCGCGCCGCGCTCCGGGTGATGTGGACGCCTCGGACCGTGAGACATGCGCCCGGGGCCGAAGCGTCTTCAGCTGTGAAGATATTGAAGCTCTGAGAAAGAATATCAGATACCCTGAAGATCGAAGATCCCGGAAGGCCAGGTTTATGATCTAGAAAAAAAGAACCGGTTGATCGTTGGAGTTGGCTCTTGATATAATGCCCTCTACATTAATAGACATCCCTGGTAGCAAATGCTCTCCTCTGGTCAGGTCGGAAGCAAGCTTGATATACGGACAATCGGTCATACAGGTGCATTTGAAGATGATCTACCATGAAAGCTTCCCAAAGAATGAATACGGCACTGGAAAACACGACGGCGCCCTTCAATGAAAAAGAGTTCGTTTCTCTTCTTTCTTGCATGCAGCCTTCCCCTTTGGCCTTCCCCTTCTGTTGCCATGTGTTCTCCCCCCTTTTCACCCTCCAAAGCCATCCCAACGCGCCTTGGCACGGCCAGGGGCTGAAAGGGCGCGCTGGAGTTCCTCCACTTCCGAAGCCTTGTGACGGAACGGCGGGGTCATGAAGGCAGGTTCACTCCGCAAGTCACTTGTGATCTCAGTTCGCTGGGCCGAAAAGTGAAGCAACAGAGGTTGAATGAAGCCATAGACTATCCCATAGGTCCCAGTTCGGTAATGCAGGTGACGGGTCCTAGGGTCCTATTTAAGAATAACTCTTAACCTCTCTTGGAAGGTTCCCAGTTTCCAGGACCTCACGACCTGTCCAGATTCCCCAGTAGGGTCCCCGGTGTTCTGCGGCCTTCTGCTCAAAAGCTTTCGTGTCCTTCGGCTCCTCCTGCGCGTTCCGGATCTGCACCTCCCGCGCAAAGGCGCGAAGCAGCTGTCGTTGACGGAGCGACCGACTCGGGGAGCTCGGCTGGGAGGCGAAAGAGTCCAACCTAGCCATGGCCTCCCACCAAGTAGCGATGGTCTTGAACCTAGTAGCCATGGCCTCCAACAGTGGCATGCAATGGCATGAAGCGAGCAATGAGGATGTATGGTGCCCTGGAAATGGTCCCCGGCCTCCACCTGGCCCGCCGCCACCGAAGCACAAATTCTTCTTCTTTCCCCACACTCGTCAGTTCACTCGCATGTGTTTCTTGGTTGTTCAGCAGCGGGATGCATTTCAATCCCATGCACACCAGTAAATGAATCCTCAGCTCGAAATTCGGGGCGTCAAGTGACCAAAATGCTTTACTCTTCCCCTTCCAGAGGTCCTTTTTTTCCCCCCGGCTTGCCCAAAAAGGTCTTCGACCTCTCCGCACCAGTCATACTCTCTATATATGTAGTGTCTTCCTGAGCTTTTTCATGGCCATCGGCTCTCTCTCTCTCTCTCTCTCTCTTTCTTCCACCCAAAGAGATCCAGAGTCCAACGCAAGATAGTCCCAAAAGTCCAACGAAACCTCCCTCCAGGTTTCGCACTCAGCTCCCACCCTCGAGCCTGAAGCTTCTGCAGCCGTGTCTTCATCTCCACTTGAGCCCTGGAGGCCACAGATGTGGTCATAGATGTGGTCACATCAGTCTGCCACCCAGTTTTTCCTCACAAAGTCCTCTCAAATGATCTGTAACGCCCCCTTTCACCAACTCTCACCACCTCGAGATCACCACCCTCAAGCGGAGAAAAGTGGCACCCTCCCAAGTTACCCCAATGCGCTGGGCCTTCGCAGCTGCAAGTTCTCTTCCTGAAGATCATCTTTTGCCTCACTGCAGGTTCAGTCCGTTGCGACTCCTCTGTGGCATACCCTGGCAATCCAAAAAGAACGTGAAACACCGGTGCTTAACCACTGCCGGTGCTGAACCCCTAGTGTGTGACCACACTGCTTGGGGAAAAAATAAAAGCGAAAAACGCTGCTCGTGATGAACTCCGGTGTGAATGGAGACTTCATGCGACGGTCTCTGAGTTCCTCTTGTCCAGAGTCTCCATCGTCTCCGTCGAGGACAGCCACTGACGGCTCGAGTGCTCTGAGGACAGCCACTCGCTCCTCGATAATGTTTGTCCTCACCTGATCAGCAAGGAGCGCTCTACGACCAAAAGAAAAGAATACATAACAAGGGAAGGTTGAAGCAAAAGGGACAAAAAAAAACAAAACCAGGACATGGCTGCATCCTGCTTTGGTGGCACATGCAAACCTATATGTCCCATCAAAATAGAACGACAACTCGGCAATGGCGGAAAATTCACATCCAACACAGTTGTCCAAAACCGAAAAACGTGCAAGAAGGCTATGCTGCATGTGCGTGGTCAGAGAAATCTCATGTGGGTGTTAATTTCCTCATACAGCTCTCAAGCTGAAAGGACCCGTTTTTAGATCAT